CCTGGAACATTGTGTTGTGCTATAAAGAAAAGAAATGTGGTGAGCACTGTGTATTGTGTAAGACTGATGAATCACAGTCCTGTACCCCTGAAACAAATAATACAGCATAGGGGTACCTGGGTGGCTCAGATGGTTGGGCGTCTGCCTTCGGCTCAGGTCGTGATCCCTGGGGTCCTGGGATCGAGCGCCTCATCAGGCTCCCTGCTCAGTGGGAGGCCTGCTTCTCCCTCTCCCTCTACTGCTCCCCCTGCTTGTGCTATGTTGCTCTCTCTGTCAAATAAATAAATAAAATCTTAATAATAATAATAATAATACAGTATATGTTAATAATAATAAAAATAATTTTAAAAAAGAAATGCTCAAAGAAATGGGGATATAACAAAGCAATCAGGGGCTAGTTGCAAGAAGCACTCACTAGCCAAATTTGGCATAACTTAAGCTTCAAAGAATAATACTATAATTGATTGTTACAAATTGAATAAAAATTCATTAATCCACACTGATACAATATTTTTCAAAAAGAAAGAAAAGAATCTTTAATGCCATCATAGAAGGTCACCATTACATCAAGTCCTCACTCCAAAAATTGGAAATTAAAGAGCAAAAATAAACATTTATTAAATCTTGTTAGGTGAAAATTTTAAAAATATTTGGTACATTAACACTCATCCTTACACAAGAATGACAATGAGTAAGTGCAGAAAAATTATAGAATTGATCTTTAAAAATCACTACTTTGCAGCCAACAATGCAATAGTTGGTTATACGCTATATACTAATTGTAGGTTAAGTGTTATAAACAGATTCCATAAGCATTACGTGAAAGGTTTGGACAAATAATATATACACCAATGTTAATATTGACAGCAAAGATAACTTGCCATTTAAGTGTGAGAAAACTGGCTGTCATTTGTGAGTCAAATTTAGATAAATGATTCTATTGGTGATAGCCAGGTTTCTCATCCATTTTTTCCCCAAATTTTTATTTAAATTCTAATTAGTCAACATGCTTAGAGTGCCACCTGATTTGATGCAATATGAACAAGATAACACCATAAAATTTTTTTACCTTAATTATTTATATCCTTATTTTCATCTTAAAGTTTTCATGCTTTCATAGAAATTTAAAATGCTTATAGTCAAATGATTTTAACTAATTATGTAATGTGAAATGTATGAACATAAAACTCCTATTTCAGACTCTTGTCATTGAATGTTTCCAAAACCCTCAATACCAGCAAAATCATGAAAATGTTTTCAGATCTGATGATCATCACAAAGAAGTTTTCATAGGTCTCAACATGTATTATCTTAGTTTTTAATATATCTTTATTCTAAACTAATATATTCTCGTGGTCCAAAGGTGATATATGCTAAAGATAGAAAAAAAATGGAGAATACTGTTGAGTATTAAGGAATTAAATACCAACTCTGACCACTAATTTCTAACTATAGCTAACCATAGCTTTTGTAAATATTCTATTGTACTTCTGCTGACCTTGTTCTGTAAACATTCAGTGTTCAAAGCATGGGGTATGTGTGTATGTGTTTGTGTTTACACTTGATTTTGGATTTTTTGGTCACTTTTCATGTCATGTTATTATAGTTATACACACAATTAGATTCTACTTTCTCTTTATGATTTAATTTTTATGTGTGGTAGAGAGTCATCTTGTAGGAGATCATGCATTTCATCATTTTTTTGGTATATACATCTATTGATAAGCAAAAGTAAGTGATAACTACTTACGTCATATTACTAACATAGATATGACATAGTTAGGTTTTATGTGTTTTTGAAATGATATTATTTTGAAGATGGAGAAAAGCATTTTCTCCCATTTCTGCTGAAACAGGGTCTCAGGAAGCCTCAGAAGTCATGGAGGGAGCTTTGAGAAAGTTAGGAAAAAGATGGATAGAAGCAGGCCCTGAAGTGATTGAACCTAATTTCTTGCCATAGATATTTTATGAATAGGACACATAGCATTTTGGTTTGTCAATTTTTAATGTGGTGCTTTTTTTTTTAAAGATTTTTATTTATTTGAGAGGGGGAGAGAGAGTGCACATGAGTGGTGGGGGGAGGGGCAGAGGGAGAAGGAGAAGTAGATTCCCCGCTGAGCAGAGAGCCTGAGGCGGGACTAAATCCCACACCCTGAGGTCACACCCATCCCACTGAGCTACCCAGGCACCCCTAATGTGGTGCTTTTAAGAAGTGATTCATTTGTTTTTGTGCCAATACCATGCTGTCTTGATGATCACAGCTTTGTAATATAGCTTTGGTTTTCTTTTTCAACAATCCCCTGGTGATTCAGGGTCTTTTCTGGTTCCATACAAATTTTAGGATTGTTTGTTCCAGCTCTGTGAAAAATGTCAATGCTATTTTGATAGGGATTGCATTGAATGTGTAGATTTCTCTGGGCAGCATAGACATTTTCACAATGTTCATTCTTCCAATCCATGAGCATGGAATATTTTTTCATCTCTTTGTGTCTTCCTCAATTTCTTTCATAAGTGTTCTGTAGTTTCTAGAGTATAGATCCTTTACCTCTTTGGTTAGGTTTATTCCTAGGTATTTTATGGTTTTTGGTGCTATTATAAATGGAATCAATTCCTTAATTTCTCTATCTTCACTCACATTGTTAATATATAGAAATGCAACTGTGCATTGATTTTGTATCCTGCCACATTGCTGAATTGCTGTATGAGTTCTAGTAATTTGGAGGTGGAGTCTTTTGGGTTTTCCACATAAAGTATCATGTCATCTGCAAAGAGAGAAAATTTGACTTCTTCTTTGCCAATTTGAATGCCTTTTATTTCTTTTTGTTGTCTGATTGCTGAGGCTAGGATTTCTAGTACCATGTTGAACAAAAGTGGTGAGAGTGGGCATCCCTGTAATGTTCCTGACCTTAAGGGAAAAGCTCTCAGTTTTTTCCCATTGAGAATATTTGCTGTGGGCTTTTCATAGATGGCTTTTATGATATTGAGGTATGTTCCTTCTGTCCCTATATTTTGAAGAGTTTTAATCAGGAAAGGATATTGTATTTTGTCAAATACTTTTTCTGCATCAAGTGAGAGGATCATATGGTTCTTGTATCTTTTCTTATAAATGTGATCTATCACATTGATTGATTTGCAAATGTTGAACCACCCTTGCATCCCAGGAATAAACCCCACCTGGTCATGGTGAATAATCCTTTTAATGTACTGTTGGATCCTATTATCTAGGATTTTGTTGAGTATTTTGGCATCCAAGTTCATCAGGGATATTGGTCTGTAGTTCTCCTTTTTGATGGGGTCTTTGTCTGGTTTGGGGATCAGGGTAATGTTGGCCTCATAGAACGAGTTTGGAAGTTTTCCTTCCATTTCTATTTTTTGAAACAGCTTCAATAGAATAGGTATGATTTCTTCTTTAAATGTTTGGTAGAATTCCCCTGGGAAGTCATCTGGCCCTGGACTCAGTGGAACAGAATAGAGACCCCAGAAATGGACCCTCAACTCTATGGTCAACTAATCTTTGACAAATCAAGAAAGAATATCCAATGGAACAAAGACAGTCTCTTCAATAAATGGTGCTGGGAAAATTGGACAGCCACATGCAGAAGAATGAAACTGGACCATTCTCTTACATCATACACAAAGATAAGCTCAAAATGGGTGAAAGACCTCGATGTGAGACAGGAATCCATCAAAATCCTAGAGGAGAACATAGGCAGTAACCTCTTCAACATTGGCCACAGCAACCTCTTTCAAGACATGTCTCTAAAGGCAAGGGAAACAAAAGCAAAAATGAACTTTTGGGACTTCATCAAGATAAAAAGCTTTTGCACAGCAAAGGAAACAGTCAACAAAACTAAAAGGCAACCCAGAGAATGGGAGAAGATATTTACAAACGACATTACAGATAAAGGGCTGGTATCCCAGATCTATAAAGAACTTCTCAAACTCAACACCCAAAAAACAAATAATTCAGTCAATAAATGGCCAGAAGACATGAACAGACACTTCTCCAAAGAAGACATACAAATGGCTAACAGACACATGAAAAAAATGTTCAACATCACTAGCCATCATGGAAATCCAAATCAAAACCACAATGAGATACCACCTTACACCAGTTAGAATGGCAAAAATTGAGACAGGAAACAACAAGTGTTGGCAAGGATGTGGAGAAAGGGGAACCCTCCTACATTGGTGGGAATGTAAGCTGGTACAGCCACTCTGGAAAACAGTATGAAGGTTCCTCAAGATGTTAAAAATAGAGCTACCCTGTGACCTAGCAATTGCACTACTAGGTATTTACCCCAAAGACACAGATGTAGTGAAAAGAAGGGGCACATGCACCCCAATGTTCATAGCAGCAATGTCTACGATAGCCAAACTGTGGAAGGAGCCGAGATGCCCTTCAACAGGTGAATGGATAAAGATGTGATTCAGGTATACAATGGAATATTATGGAACTGGAGGGGATTATGCTAAGTGAAATAAGTCAAGCAGAAAAAGACAATTATCATATGTTTTCATTCATATGTGGAACATAAGGAATAGCACGGGGGACCACAGGGAGGGGAGGGAAAACTGAATGGGAAGAAATCAGAGAGGGAGACAAACCATGGGAGACTCTGGACTCCAGGAACCAAACTGAGGGTTACAGAAAGGAGAGAGGTGGGGGGATGGGGTAGCCGGGTGATGGGTAGTGAGGAGGGCACATGTGGTGATGAGCCCTGGGTGTTAGACACAACTAATGAATCATTGAACACTACATCAAAAACTAATGATGTACTATATGCTGGCTAATTGAACATAATAAAAAAATAAGAATAATTAAATTTAAAAATAAAAATATCAGATAGATTCAAATGAGCGTATAACATCCTGTAAATGCATGCTCCTAGCATACATACCTTTCAATAATTATCTGCTAGGGTACCAGTGGTCTAAACTATCAAGGAAAAAACTGATTTATTTTTATCCTTTTTATTTATTCATTAAATATTTTAATGTAATATTTTTCCAACTTTACGAAGATATAATTGACAAATAACATTCTGTAAACTCAAGTTGTAAAACATGATGATTTGATACACAGATACAGTGCTAAATGATTACCATAAGATTAATTAACATCTCTATCACTTCACATAATTCCCATTTTTGTGTGTGTGGTGAGAACATTTATGATCTACTCTCTTAACAACTTTCAAATATATAACACAGTTTTGTTAACTAAAATCATCATCATACTGTACATTAAACTCCCAGAACCTAATCATCTTATACCTGAAGTTTGTACCCTTTGACGAACATCTCTCCATTCCTTGGATTTATTTTTTAATGGAGCATATGTGAGACCTGGTTAAAAAGGTACACATGTATCCATTCAATAGACCCTAACTGAGTGCTTACTATGTGCCAGGAAATGACCTAGACATGATTCCATTTGTTATTTAACTTAATTTGTTTATTTCCCACATTATACCTCATTTTAAAAATATTTACTGACACCCCCCCAAAAAAGTGATTCATTTGTCTCTTAGATTATAACTACACTATCCACATAATATTAAACACATATTCTGACTTACAAATAAAAATTAGTTAATACTTGAAAAACTAAACTGAGAATTAGATTAATAATGAAAAATTCTGAATAAATGTACATATTTCAATTTTAGGACAGCGTTTTAACCATTGTTTTATCCACAGACTGGATATGTCAATTTCCCTTCCCGACAGGTTGCTCGGAATGTATATCGTGATGTCTTTCTGTCATAGTTACATTCAAATTCAACAATATCCTCTGCTCTTCCAGAAATTTGTTTCTCACTACTCCATTGTAACCATATGTTAAACATTCTCATGGTTTCTTCTGATAGCACACATGGATCTGAAAGTATAAAAAATGAACAAAAAACATTAAGTAGTAAATAAATATTTTCCCCAGAATTTTGGACTTTCAAGGGGAATCTTCCACACTGGTTCAGGGCTTCATTCTCAAAATGAACTAAACCATCCTGAAGATTTATCTGAAAATCCATCATGTAGATTTAAATGATTTTAAGCAATGAATGATGTAAAAATGAGGTACTATGTTTAGTCTGTGATAATTAAGTGTTACAATCAAAGATTCATAATGTCAATTATGAATTATGAATTAAAAAATATTTTGCTGCCTGAACAAGAATTTTTCAAACTTTATTTCCTCACATATTAATATTTGATAGTCAAGCATTCAACAGAATGATGGTTTGTTAATCCATGAAAATTCTATTATAAATAGCTAAACATCATATTCACTACACTGATTTTCCCAGGATCCATGAGAACATTAAAATATTTACCTAAGCATTTTGGTGGTTTTGACCACTGTCCATTACTACATATTACATTCCTGTTTCCCTGAAGTGCATAGAAGGCCTGGCATTGGTACTCAGCTGATGATCCTGGAGCATAAGCTGGTAATGGGAATGAGGTAATGTCTCCATTGTCAATAGGCGGAGGGAGCCCACATTTTCCTTTAGGGTATAAAAGACATTATTTGATTTATTGAAAGGCCAAAGAAAAACAGGTTAAAGCGATAAAAATATAGTACAATACTTAATATCAACACTTGTAATATCTGCTGACACAAATGATTCATTAAAGAAATTTTAATCACAGAAACTGAAAAGCACACGTTTACACCCTTTTTTATCCCACATGAAAGCACACAGAAGCATTAACAAATACATCTGCTTTGCAGTATTGTGATATTAAAAATGTTTTTCTTAGTGAATAAATGCTGGATAGATGGGTAGCTAATATAAACAAAGAATCTTTATTGCTATAGGCAACATACTACAGCGTCTATTGGATCTCTAGTCATTGTTTATTGATTTTCACTTTTATTACAAAAGAAAGATCGACTTCTTTAATAAAATTCAAAGAATTACACATTTGTATAATGTGAAAGGGAATTGCTGGCTCCTGTTCTGGACAAGATGAGGTAGGAACATTTCTGCTCAGTCCTTCTGCTAAGTATAACTAAAAATCCTGAACGTATTGCAAAAATCCAACATAAGAGACTATGAAAGATGTAGACAAGAAGTCAGTCTTTCAAGGACTTCAGAATTCAAGGACTTCAGAATTCAAGGAATCACACTGCAGTGAGTTATTTGGTTTTTCATTTTGCCTTCAGTGGATTCTGGACTGAGCACTGAAGAAGACTGTAACCCAGAAATGATACCAAGTTCAAGCAAAAAAAAAGGGGGGGGTCCCAAGAATTTCCTTTGTTTCTTTAGACAAAGGCTCAGGAAAGGAGTAACCTAGCAAAACAAACATTTTTACACAATACTTAAATTACCTCAGAAAAATATCATAAAAGAAACCTAAGATCACGCCTCTCCCGACCTTGATCCACAGAGGCCAAGTGAGGAGCCTGAACTTACACCCTGCATGGTAGTAATGGGGGCCTGAGAAATAAAAGACTTCAATAAAATCCAAAGTCTTAAAACACAATACCCAAAATGTCCAGAATATAATTGGAAATCATTCATCATACCAAGGACCAGAAATACCTAAAAAGGGAAAGAAAATCAACAGAAGACCACACCAAGATGACACCGATATTGGAATTCTTTGACAATGATTTTTAAAAATCCAATAGGAAGTATAGAACTGAGAAATATAATAATAAAAATTTTTAGAAACCTACTGGATGGGCTCCATTATAGATCTCAGGTGACAGAAGGATACACAAACTTGAATATAGAACACAAATTATTCACTTTGAAAACAGACTGAAAACAACAACAAAAAGTAGACAGAGCTTTAAGGACCTGTGAGAAGATAGCAAAAAACTGGATACCCAGAAAGAGAAAAGAAAGAGGTTGGAGATTAAAACAACAACAAACAACTTCCAAAAATAATGTCCGAAAATTTCCCAAATTGGGCATAAGGCATAAACCTACACATTAAAAAGGCTGAACTGGATAAACCTAAAGAAACTCATGCCAAGATACATTGTAATCAAACTGCTGAAAACTACTGAGAAAAGAAAAAAATATATATATCCAAAGCAGCTAGATAGAAATTATGCTAACCTAAAGGGGAAAGAGGATTCCAATGTTAGTGGGATTCTCATCTGTCACCATGGAGCCAGAAAGAAGTGACAACACCTCTCAAGCGCTGGAAGACAAGAACTGTCAAACCCAAATTCTATATGCAGAGATACTATCTTGTAGGATTTAAGGGCAAAATGAAGACATTCTGAGACAAAGGAAGACAGAGAATTTGTCTGCAGCAGACCTGTCTGTCCTTAAAGAATTGCTCAAGGAATTCTTCAAGTTAAAAGGAAAGGATAACAGAAGGATGGAGACTTCAGGAAGGAAGAAAAAATAACAATGAAATTAATAAAAATGGGGGTGAATGTAATATACTTTTTCCTAATGAGTTTTTTATGTTTGATGTTTGTGCAAAATTATAAAATTTAATGTGGTGCTCACTAAATGTAGAGGAAATACTTAAAAGCTTTATGTTAAAAATGTGGAGAGAGTAAATAGACCTAAATGGAAGCAAGGTTCCCATATTTCACTTGATATGGTAAAATGTCAATACCCGGGGGGGGAGTGATAAGCTATATATGTGCATCTTCACACTGCCAGAAACACTAATAAAACTATACAAAGAGATCTGTTCAACAATATAGATATATCAAAACAAAATGATTTAAAAATGTTCCAAAAATCCACAGGGAAGGCAAGAAAACAGGAATGAAAAACAGAGGAAACACACATAAAACAAATAATAAAATGGCTAACACAGCCCCTAATCTATCAATAATTATGTGTAAATGGTATATATTTTTTAAGATTTTATTTATTTGTGAGAGAGAGATAGAGAGAGAGAGCATATGCGTGCACAAGCAGGCAGAGGCAGACGGAGAAACAGGCTTCCCTCTGACCAAGGAGCCTGATGCTGGACTCCATCCCAGGACCCTGAGATTGTGACCTGAACTGAAGGCAGACACTTAATCAACTGAGCCACCCAGTCATCCCTGTGTAAATGGTTTAAATACTTCAGTTAAAAGAGTGAAAATGGCAGGGTGGACACATAAACAAGACCCAACTATATAGCACCTAAAAGAAACTCACTTTGAACATGAAAACATAGGTGGGCTCAAAGTAAAAGATTGGAAAATATATATGGCAGGCAAAAGTTGATATGAAATACAAGTGGCTAATATAATATCACTTTTGTTGGCTTCCTTTATTTCCTGAACTCTAAATACTAGAGTGTTCTATGACCATTTCTCAGACTTTCTTTTCTGTACACACTAATCCCCTGGATAAGCTCCGCTAGTAAACTACCTTGAAATATAATCCACATGCTGAAGAAGCCAAATTTATATCACCTTCTATGATCACACCCCAGCTGCCTATTCCATGTCTAAAAATGGAATTTCTTGAGTTGTCAAATGTACTTAAGGTAGCTTTAATACATTTGCCTCAGAAAATAACTGAGTGTCCTAATGCTTAAGATAGGCAATTTTCCATGATTCCAACTGTTCTTTTAATCTGGCCAAATCCTTCATGAAACAAATACACTACATTGGGGGAGGAAAAGATGGCAGAGGAGTAGGGGACCCTATTCCAACCAGTCCCTGGAATTGAGCTGGATATCTACCAGACCACTCTGAACACCCACGAAATCAGCCTGAGATGTAAGAAGATAGATCTGGATCTCTACAAACAGAATATCGCAGGCGGTTGGTTTCGAGGTGTGAAGTGGGGAGCCATGATTCTGCAGGCAGATATCAGAGGATAAACAGAAGTGGGGAGGGAGCAGAGCTGTGGCGATCCTACACCACCAGTGAGTGATAGCCTCTCACACTGGGGATGGGGCACAGACTTGCAGACTGGTAGCGATGGAGAAAGGACTTTAGGGCAGCCCCCAGACTGAAACCCAGAGCAGCGGGACCACGCATGTGAACTGGGGGCCACAGGCAGTTTTAGAAGCACAAAGGGCAGGGACATGCCCCAACCCAGAGGTCAGGACTGGGAGCCCTCCTGAGGGGTGCACAACACAGGACACTGCAGTTTATAGCAGCACAGACAGAAACAGAGATAATGTGGCCTGGAGAGCTCACTGAAGAACAATCTGCAATCTTTCCACTCTGAGGCAGAGGGTTGGAAACAATCTCTTCTGCTCTGACTCTCAGAAGAGATGTAGAAAGCTGCCAGGGAAAGCCGCCAGAGAACGGAAGCCCCCAAAAAACGGTTTTCACTGAGCCCATCCCCTGCCACAGGGGGCAGGGCAACTCTGCCCAAACAGGGTTGCCTGAGTAACAGCGTAGCAGGTCCCTCGCCCAGAAGACAGACTGGGAGAACAAGAGGCTGGCAACCCTAAGGTCCCTATAAAACAGGTGCATCTTGCTTGGGTTGTGGTCAATAATTTGGACTCTGCACATTCCCACAACCACCCCTCAGCAGAATGACTAGGAGGAACCCCCAAAATAGGAAAGACTCAGAGACTGTGACTGCTGCCACAGATTTACAAATGGATACAGATATAACCAAGATGTTGGAAATGGAATTCAAGGTAGCAATTGTGAAGACAATAGCTAGAATGGAGAAATTGATTAATGGCAACATAAAGTCTCTAAGGGCAGAAGTGAAAGCTGAACTGGCAGAACTTAAAAATGCTATCAATGAGATCCAATCTAATCTAGATAATCTAACAGCTAGGGTAAGCGAGGCAGAAGAACAAATTAGTGATCTAGAAGACCAATTGATAGAAAAGAAGGAAAAAGAGGAGGCCAGGGAAAAACAACTAAAAATCCATGAAAATATATGACCTCACTGATATGAGGAATTCTTAATCTCAGGAAACAAACTGAGGGTTACTGGAGTGGTGGGGGGTGGGAGGGCCGGGGTGGCTGATAGACACTGGGGAGGGTATGTGCTATGGTGAGCACTGTGAATTGTGCAAGACTGTTGAATCACAGATCTGTACCTCTGAAACAAATAATACATTATATGTTAAAAAAAGAAGAAGAAGAAGATAGCAGGAAGGGGAAAATGAAGGGGGGGATATCGGAGGGGGAGATGAACTATGAGAGACTATGGACTCAGAGAAACAAACCGAGGGTTCTAGAGGGGAGGGGCGTGGAGGTTTGGGTTAGCCTGATGATGGGTATTAAAGAGGGCACGTACTGAATGGAGCACTGGGTGTTATACGCAAACAATGAATCATGGAACACTACATCAAAAACTAATGATGTAATGTATGGTGATTAACATAATAAAAAAAATAAATAACATAAAAAGAATAAAAATCCATGAAAATAGAATCAGAGAAATAATTGACACCATGAAACGTTCCAATGTCAGAATTATTGGGATCCCTGAGGGGGTGGAGAGAGAGAGAGGACTAGAATATATATTTGAGCAAATCATAGCTGAGAACTTCTCTAATCTGGGGGAATGAAACAAACGTTAGTGTCCTAGAGGCAGAGAGGACCCCTCCCAAGATCAAG